ACGAAAGCCAACAATCATCCATCATGTCCAGCACGTGAGGGGGCTTCTCAATAATTCGATATATTACGCCGTGTGAATCGGGCTATAGAATGTTAGGAGGGACCTCTTCAACGATGACAGTGGCCTCTTGAACGGTGGGAGGGGACTCTTGAGGGATGATAAGGGCCTCTTGAACGATAGGGAGGCCTCTTGAACGATGACAGGTGAGTCGGGCTTTTTCTTACGGATTCTTTGCACTATTGGGGTGAACGGAGATGTAATGGCACGTGTACGCGTCTGATGCGTGAACTCCGTCTTGCAAGAAAAACCGACGTAGAGCATCCACCTTAGCGGACCACTAAAAATAAATTAATACATAATCAGTAAATAACAGACATGCTATTAAACAGTGAAAACAAAGACAAAATATTTCAAACTTACGCGTATTCACCCAAGTCATTATTATATCATTGTTCACAAAATGCATCAGTAACATTCCAGAAGTAAGCACTTATAAACATTTAAAAGAACAACATATAGGTTTAGTGCAGGTTCAATGACAACATAAAGAGTAGTAGTTTATTCTTGAAACTTAAATTTTCAACACTGTGAAGTTAGTATTGTCTTTGTTGAAGTAAGCATTCATTCAAGTTTCAATTTGCAGAAGGAGAATAGAATCTAAAACTTAAAATCGCAACGAAAATGACTATCGCAACGAGAGAATCGCAATGCGAAATGAAAATCGCAACAACAAAATCGCAACGCGAAAAGACTATCGCAATGCGAAAATGACTATCGCAATGCGATTTTCATTTGCATTGCGATTCTTCGTTGCGATAGTCATTTTCGCATTGCGATAGTCATTTTCGCATTGCGATAGTCATTTTCGCAGTGATAGTCATTTTGCATTGCGATTCTCTCGTTGCGATAGTCATTTCGCGTTGCGATAGTCATTTCGCATTGCGATAGTAAACTATTCTTCTTCTCAAATTGAAACTGAATGGATTGCATTACTTCAACCAAAAGACAACCAAAACAAATACTAACTTCACAGGGTAAAGAATAAACAGTTAAACAGTATTGGCAGCAGCCGAATGAATTTACTAAGCAATCTAAGTGAAATTACGAGTAAATTTATCATCAGTTAAATATGAAAAATATTAAACTTACCTCGTTACGTAGAGTATGAACCTCGTTCTGCAACGATGCTACAATCTCACGTGAGCTGCTACTCACCACGTAAAGTAGACACCTCAACACGCCATGCACCATTGTCATCGCGTAAAGTACCGACCTCCTCACGCAAGGTATTGACCTCATTACGTAACTCCCCTAACTCATCCCGTGGAGGTGGAGGTGGAGAACAGGGGATAAACGTCGTGGCATCTTTTCGGTCGTCTATCATGAGGTGATGGTGGAGAAGAGGCTCGATGATGTGACAGAATAGGTGATGACTCTCGTTGTGGAGGTGTATATTCGGGTCGATCAGGTGATGGCTCTGGGTGAGGTGATGGCTCCGAAGTGGTGGTTCATCATCCGTGCTATCAAAAAAAACGCTTACTAGCTTGCCACCATCAATGGCAAGCTCAGCTTCCGTGGTGTCAGCCTCTGTAATAGAGTGTTGGCCTCCTAACAATATAAAAGCTCAAACAAAGTTAAACGTGTCTAGTAATAACTTGTTTATAAACATATGGTAGTATTTGTGTTAATTATTATTATTGTAGTATACGGTAGTAAATCTTCCCATTGCTGCAAGGACCGTTCCTCTTCAGGAAATAGCCCTAGGAATATCATTAGAAGTTTTTAATGCATATGTCTGCATGGCGGGAAAGGCCTCAAATATCCAAATCTACAAACAATATAATAACAAATATTAGTAATTGTTAAAGAATTAATTATAATTTTGGAAACATTATATAAAATTATTACCTTAAAGGCCCAAATAAAGCCTGACAAAGTGTATTTGGAACCATCGCCACGCAAACTTTTTCGATCATCAAAGGCTACGACAACTTATTCCATGTAGCTCTCATAGATACGAACCCACGGAAACAGGTTCCATGCATTTAGGTCCTCTACCAATTTAATTAGATCATTAGGAATAGGTTGTCGGGCCTCTCTGCTAAAAAGCGGGTTGCAAAAGTATTAGAAGGCATACTCGGCGGGTAATATGTCTAGTGTACGATCTACATCATCGTGTCCGAAGCATAGACCAGTGATTAAGGAAAACTCCTCCCGCCCAAACACGTATACGCGGGGAAAATCAAACCATATCTCTTCATCACGTTGTATTTTCTGGTAGATCGCTAGTCATGGTTTGAAGAAACAGATGGGTAACATAACATCTCCACCGGATGTTGTACTTTCAGCCATGGCCCGAAGCAAGTATCCTCAAATATTTTTCTTTGTGCAGGTGAAAGCTTCGACGCAATTGTTTTGGCCAGGCTTACTTTATTCTTAAGGTCAATTGAGCCGAATAAAAGTTCTGCAAAAACAATAAACATACCAATTTAGATATACCAAAAACTACACTGTGAAGATATAACAAGAACAATAAACATAAAGAGTAGTAGTTTATTCTTCAAACTTAAATTTGCAACACTGTGAATTTAGTATTTGTTTTTGTTTTTTTGGTTGAAGTAATGCAATTCATTCAAGTTTCAATTTGCAGAAAAAGAATAGTTTAGCAAAACTTTAAATCGCAACATGAAAATGAAAATCGCAACACGAAAATGACTATCGCAACGCGAATTTGACTATCGCAACGCAAGAATCACAACGCGAAATGAAAATCGCAACGACAGAATCGCATTGCGATAGTCATTCTCGGTTTCAAATACTAAAATTGAAAGAAACTTGAATGGATTGCATTACTTCAACCAAAAGACAAAACAAAGACAAATACTAACTTCACAGGGTTAAAGACTAAACAGTTTAACAGTATTGGCAGCAATCGAATGAATATAATAAGCAATCTAAGTGAAATGGTTAATCTATTATTGAAAACACCAGTAAACTTATCATCAATTTCAATATAAAAAACCTAATAATAATGCAAAAATTTCAAAAATAAAAAAAATTAAAAAAATAACCCTCGGTGGTTGATTTGGTTGATTTTCCATTTCTGACCGTGAATGATTTCGCCGGAGATGGAGACTGATATCTTCGTGGGGACTGATTTCGTCGGAGATGGGGACGGATATCGTCTTAGAGAGTGAGAGATGGAGAGATTGAGTTGTGTTTAGGGTTTTAGGTTATGAGTTGCGATTACGGGATATACTGTGGGCGGTTCAGTGTTTCGATATATTAATATATTCGTGTTTGGAATTTGAAAAAAAAATACGTGTTAATACGAATGGCACTATGTAAATCGCATTGCGATTTACGTAATCGCATTGCGATTTTCCAAATTCGCGTTGCGATTTATGTATTCGCATTGCGAATTTGGAAAATCGCAACGCGAATTTGGGAAATCGTAATGCAATAGTCAGAATCGCGTTGCGAATCTGGAAACTAATTTGCGATACCGGAGATCGCGTTGCGAATTATCGATCGCATTGCGATTTAGTTGGTCATTTTGGCAATCCAAAAAAGTTGGTTAAAATCGTATATTATAAGGCATTTTTGGTCACTGAGATTATTTTCTCATCTTTAAAATGTTAGATTTATACATCTTATACCCATTTATTATTGTAATATATATATTTTTATGTGTTTTATTTAATTTATAAAAAAATTATTGATAATATGACCTTTAATCCATCTAATGATCTAAGTAGTTGAAGGGCTCTTTAGAGATATTGGGTTCGAGCTGAGTTGCTGCTTTTGTAATGACTAAAAAAATATGAACATATATTACCTTAATCACCCTAAACTATTAAAAGAAATTCATCGATAATAAATATGTATGTTTAAGCATGGTGGAGAACTAGGTCTGTTTACTTGTTATGCACTTTTTTAGTTTTAGTGACTATTTCCTTGTTATGTGCTGTATAGGTGGTATTTATAGAATCTCTGTATTTTTGGAATTTAGGTGTCTGGTTTTTTTTCCTTGTCATTCACATTATTTAATTAATAGTATTGATATGACTTGCGAAAAAAAGGTCGTTGCCCTGCTGGCGAGAAGAAGCCGTACTTGAACTGCCCCGGAATGTACCTTTGAGAACTTAAAACATGCTAAAAGAAGTAATAACCGGGAAATAGGTTGATCATATTACAAAAGATCATCTTTATTTTAGACAGCTTCATTTGATTGCCTTGTTTTCCTTCAGAAAAATAAATGTTGTTCCTTTAAGGTTCATGACGTAACCATAATCTTCTTCTCTACAATCATGAAATCCATCATGGAATCGCTTGCAAAGCATACCGATGGGCTACTACATATTAGAGATACTGCAAATAAATGTCCAGACTTGAACAAACTCAAGGCAAAGAATTAACACACGTAACAACTTTTTGCACTGATTCTTGATGCAGTAAGTCCCTTAGATTACTATTTTACAGGAAAATTCTGAGGGCACTTTGTTACAGATGAAATGTTCATACGCTCAGAGCATCAGAAACATGTTACATTGTCATGGTTTACTATGGAAAAGATTCTAACGTAATGATGCAGCAGACAGTTAAACGGCGGACTAATTTCATCTTCGAGTTCTAAAATGGTTTGATTTGTTGAATCAATGGCATCAATCGGTCCAACCAGTTGGTATCTTGGATTGCATCATTCTCTGGTAAAGTTTGATAGCTTTGTGTTGTCTCTTCTTAGGCTTTGCCTGGAGAATTGGGTTTTGACATCAAAATGTCATCCAAACTGATTCTTCAGTTTAATCACCATCTTTCATGGAGCTGAACTTGTTGCTCTCCACTTTTATCATCTGCTTTTTAACAAACAAATCCATGCATATATTTAAACTTGTGAAATGAAGGATGAATATATATATAGTACACGAAAGGGATCTTACTTACCCATAGATGAGCCGAAATTTGCGTACTGATCAGCCTGCTTCTTATAAATGTTATGTTCATCGAGGCTTCAGTACCCTCGACCAGTTCAAAGACACTAGCATCACCAATTCTAAATTATTTTCCACGGAAAATTTACGCCAACCATTACCAAATCTTACATTTAGCTTTGGTCCGTCAGAACTATACTTATAACATATTACTGGCCATGATTTGCCATTTGAAAGGGAAGTATGACCTATTTGTGCATCTTTGACAGATATTGCCTTGCAGAATTCGCTGGTATACTCTGTTCAAAAACACGTCAGTCAAGTTATTTATGCAAAGGAGAGAAAGCAAAATTAACATTTCAGCCTTTTTATGTGCATTATATCATCTAAAACTTATAAGGACATGGAAATGACCAGCAGCAGGCTTCAACTCAAAACTCACCAATCTATTTGAATTGACATGTGATGGATGCAGTACCATAACAAAGAATGGATTTTCTGATTTGAAGGCACTGGCTATTTGAAGAGCTTTTGCTTTATGGAGATCAGTCAAGGTTTCGGGGCAGCTCGGACTTGCACATGATGGAGCCTTCCTTTCGCTGGACGAACCACATCAGTTGAAACTAATGACTGACAATAATTTGCCTGCTGGCCTTGGTAAATGACTACTCTGAATGATGTTTCGATACTGTTTATTAGATCGAAGGCGCAAACATCACCGACTTGGATAATGTTATCCTGTGCAAAAGTTCTCCATCCAGTTTGTCGCCAAATCTAGCTTTTTCCCTCTGTCTTTGCTTTAAGGTAGCAGTCCAAGTTTTCCCACTTGAGTCGGAAAGAGTGCTAGAACAAAGCTTTTTCATCAATGTTTCCTGGCAAAGTTGATTGGTATTGTCTGCATCAGGTTTTAAATAGTAGTCCGCGACTGCGATAGCGTCCGCGAAATAGAGGTAGAGCTGCCTTTCGATATACCCGTTATACTCGCAATAGCATCCGCTATGGCCACAACGTGGTAAACTAGACATGACCGAAAACGTGACCGCGATCGCGATTTGAATCCATGGTCTGCATAAGAAAATGGAAGAACAGAATTCAAATTTGCAAGCAATAGAAATGAAAATACTAAAAAATTACTCATTTCGGTCATTTCGTATGTGTTAATAATGTAATTGATTGAACAGCATACAGAGAGGATCTAGTGGGAATTCAATTGATTGCTTATCAGTCTGAATGTTTTATCATAACTACAACCAACATGGCATGGTTGCATGACAATCATGAAAAATGGGCTCTCAGGTTTGCAAGTATTACTAGCTCTCTCAAGAGCCCTAACCCTTTCATAAACCTTCAATGTTTTATGACCCGTGCTTTATCATTTCTAACTACATCCATTATGCTCTACTTGAGGTAGAAATACAGATTCTCATTGCACTCGGTTTCGGTTTTGATAGTTGCATTGGTTTTCATCATCTTATGAGGCCGAGGACATGGCAACTGCGGCTTTCGGATCGGTGTAGAGTCATTATGTTGAAATTCATCGTTATTCTGCACCGGGATTTCGTCGGATCACTCAATATTTCCAGTGTGTGGATCTTGTATCTCTGTAGCACTAGTATCAAAGATGAGAGTACATGGAAATTGCTATTCCCATCATATCTAAAAACCAAAAGATACCCGAAATCAAGGGTGTAATGGTTTGAAAATTGATGCCATCCATTCTCAAGCCATATTTTGCCATCAGATTTAGTCAGTTCTACCCTCCATACTTCACCAGATGGGACCCTGAGCAATGCTGGATAGGGATGTAAAAGAGCCGAGTCAAGCTCAAGTATTGCTGAGCTCGACTCGACTTGAAAACTCTGAAATGAAGCTCGACTCGAAACTCGCGAGCTTAAAATTTTTAAACTCGACTCGAACTCGAAATCTTGAACTGAAACTCGTGAGCAATTCGAAAAAGGCTCGAAATGATTTTTTTTCTTAAACTTAACTCGATTGAATCCTCAAACACAAACTCGAATCTGAACCTTAAATACATGAAAAATTTATTTTTCTTTAAAAAAATCAATACATAAATATTAATATTATTAATAATTTATTTTTAAAAAATAAAATCTTAATATATTATATTTTTGAGCTGCTCACGATCTTTTTGAGTCGAATATCAAGTAGCTCGTTTCGACTCGTTAAGAACTCGAGTCGGGCTCGAGTCGAGTCCATTTGATCCGAATATTTATCGAGCCTTGATCGAGTCGATCTCGAATAACTCGCGATATGTCCGTCTCATTTACAATCTAGTACTGGGCTTGAAATTTCATTTTCATGTTTTTCACAAACTTTTTCGGATTAATTCCCTGTATAAATGCACTCTTATTATCAAAGATATACATAAAGTAGTAGAATACAATTACCCAAGAACTATACAAAATAACAGAAAAAAAAGGTGTTGGGAGAATACTTACAAGTTTTCCATCCTGGATAGTTTCTTGGAGAATCAACTTAAGAAACAAGGTGAGTTGCTTTTAAACTTCAAATGACAACTGCCTTGCTGGTCAGAAGAAGCCATGCTTGAAAAGCTCTGCAAAAAAAAAAAAAAACTGGAATTCATAGGCTGATCATATAAATAGACAACTCTTTTAAGTCTTAATATAGACAGCTACATCTGATCGAACTTTTTTCCTTGAAGAAAAAAAAAGTAACCTTCATGCTGGAATAATCATATTCACTTGGACTGTGAAAATCATTTACCAGTATGTTGAAAGGGTTTCAACCCTGAATGTGTGGGTGTCAAAGTGCCTTAACTACACACCGGAGAGCTGTTGGTAAAGTAATTGTTTCTAGGATCGAGGGGGAAAATCAGATTCATTTAATGCACAAAGTTTTGTATTTGCCTTTCATCTTCTTCGGCCATTCAAAACAAAGCTAGTTACTGCATACTGCTAATCTATCTGTGTAGCACCATCATTAAAACTTCCGACTTTTTTACGTTCAGAATTAAAACTGCATATTGAATAATATGAGCATGTAGATGTAGAATTTTATATTAAAAGGAACACTTAAATGTAGGAGATGAATTAAAATTTTGGAGAAACAGATTTTTAATAAAACATACGTAGAATTTTTTTTTAAAATATATGATAATTTTAAATTTTTTAGGTGGGCACTAAGACGTAAAATCAAGTAATCGTACATGTTTCAGTCGAATCCTGACAGGTTGAGTAAACTGGGTATAGATCAAGTCAGGTCAGTTTGATGATTTTACTCGGATCAGGTGGGATACAGGTCAAATTAATCTGGGTCATTTTCAGGTTGATTTGACACCAGATTCAGATCGGGTTCAGTCATGTATTTTCAATTCGGATCGATGTCAGTTCAGGTCAAAACAGTTCAGGTGATGAGTGTTCAGAATCTTTAATCTTTGTTCGTTATTTCTTCGATTTTGTGGAGTTATTGCTGCTGATTTGGTTGTGTTATGCCTATTTTCGTGTAGGTCCTTACTTTCCAGAATTAGTGATAAACGGGTAAATTCTGTATTTTTTATTATTTGGTCACGGCTGGAGACATGGGCACAACTCTGGGCACGACGTGGTCTGACGTGGTAGTTTCTAGAATGTACAGTCAGCGGCGGTTTCTAGAATATTTCATTCGCACGCCTTCTGGAATATTGACGAGTAGAGTTGCATTAGGAGACTATTTAAGTTTGAATTTAAATTTAAAACAATTATCTTTTGTATTATTTAATTATTTTCTTTGCTTATCCTTTAGGCTTTGAGAGGCTATAATATCCACTTAGGGTAAGCCTAAATTCATCACTCAATTACATTCTTCTTTCTCTATAGTTTTATTAAAGTTTTCTCTTTTACTTTTCAGTTTTTCCTTTTTTATTTTATTTTCAAGCTTGTTTTCAAAATGTTAAGTATGATTTTTGTCATGCTTAGCTAAACTTTTCAAAATCCGAGAGGTGTCACGATGATTCATTCCAACGGGAGAATGAAACGGTCCCTTAATATCTTTGGAATATCTCTCAATCTATGCGCTTATTTTTCAAAATCAAAAAGTTTCAAAATCAAAGATTGACTTTGGTCAAGAGGTTGTTGCGATTAAATGTGTGAGAGGAAGATTCGGCTTATAGAAAGCAATTCGACTTTCTGGGAACACACTTGGCGAGATAGTTTCGCCAAGAGGGAATTGAGATCAGAATTGACGGTTATAGAAGCAACAATCCGAGTCGGATGCTACGAACTTAAACGGTAATTGATCTACGACAATTGATGTCGTTAGAATCAATTATCGAAGCCGGAATCAAAGATTGTCTTGGGTTTCGGTATACAAGATAGAGTCACGGGGATAGCCCTTATAGACAAAGTAACCGACGTGAATCCCGAAAAGAAAATCTTATTCGATGATCATAAGGAATTGAATCAAAGCGAAGCTTGATGCTACTTTTACCGAATTTATTCACAATCTTCATCTTCTTATTTTTACTTTAATTACTTTTATTTATTAATTGTTTATTATTTTAATATCTTTTTACCAAAATTCCCCCCTATTTTTACTGTTTCACGCATGGCATAAATAAATTAGACAAAATTTATAATTTTCTAAGTCCTGTGGAATCGACTCTTACTTCTCTTTACTATGTATTTCCTTTATTATTGATTGAGAATAAGGAATTTATTTTGACACCGAAACGACAGTTGTCATCAGGTTCGAAGCAGAAAGACCAGGTTAATTCAAGTTCAGGTGGACTTTAGTCGGATCTCATTCAGACCGGTCACATCATTGACAGATAAAATTCAGGTCGGATGTTTACTGATACGGATTGAGTTTACGTCGGGTCATTTTATTTTTGGATTAATTATTTTGTCATCTTTCGTGATTGTTGAATTGCATGTTGTAATTGTATATGATTTAGAGTAAATTAAAAAAATAAATATTCATGGATCAATTTTGTAAAAAAAAAGAAATTTAAGGACAAAATTGAAGAAATGTCAAATTACAAATAAATTTTAAAATATAAATTAAACAACACACATAGGTAAGGGACCAAATCGAAATAAATTTAAAATGTGAGGTTTAAATTAATATAAAAATGACTAAATTATACACATTTAAAAAGTTATGGGCCAGTTACAAAAATATAAATAACAACTAACAATGGGCTAAATGAAGATGCAAATATAAATTTAAGGACTAAATTAATATAAAAGTGAAAGACTAAAATTGAAATAAATTAAAAAACAAAAGGATGAAATAAAAATTAATATATAAAATATAAGTTTAATATAAAGTATATTTATATTATAAATATAATTATTAAAGATATATATATATATATATATATTATATATGAACTATATATATATATAAACTATGTATATAAACTATATATGTATAAACTATAAAAAATATATAGTTTATAAACTATAATTTATATTAATATAGTATATATATGTATGTATATAAACTATATAAACTATAAATTATAATTTATATTAATATAGTGTGTGTATATATATATATGTATGTATAACTAATATCAATAATTTATAGATTATATATATATAGTTTATAGAAATACTATGCATAAACTATATAAAGTAATAAAGTATATAGTTTATAGAAATTTAAACCCTAAACCCAAAACTTTATAAACTATATATGTATAGACATTGATGATAATTCATATATAGTTTATACAAACAATAGTTTATATAAATTATATATGTAACATTAACCAATAGTTTATAAACAATAGTTAATATATGTAACATATAGTATATGTATACATGTAAACTATACATGTAACTTATAGTACATGTATGTATAAACTATGTATAGTATATATAAACTATATATATATATATATATATATATAAACCATATAAAGTAAATTACTTATATAATTATAAAATACTATGCATAAACTATATAAAATAATAAAGTATTATATATATATATATATATATATATATATATATATATATATATATATATATATATATATATATATAAAGTTTAGTATAAAGTATATATACATATATATATAATAAGTATAAGTATATTATATATATAAAGTATAATTATAATGACTAAAGTATAAGTATAATATAAAATATAATTATTAAATAGTATATATACATACATGCATACACCATATATATATACATGTATATATAATATAAAATATATAATATAATATAAAGTACATAAGTATTAAATAAGTATATAATATTAAATATAAAGTATATAAATATATCTATAAAGTATAAAGTATATATATACTTTATATTATATACTTATATACTTTATTGTTATACTCTCTCTCTATATATATATATGTAATATATACTTATACTTTATATTATATATGTATATATACTTTATACTAAAACTTTATATATATAACTTATAGTTTATATATATACTTATACACTTTATATTATTATATATGTATATATACTTTATATTTAATACTTATATACTTATTTGATGCTTATATACTTATATTTATATTATTATATATTATTATATATATATATATTATATTTATATACTTATATACTTATATACTTTAGTCTATAATTATATATATATATATATTAATATATGTATGTAGACATGTAGTATGTCTATCATGTATATATGTCTATCATAATACATATGCATCAAAACATACATATATGTATTAAAATATATATATATATATACCATGCATGTATGTATGGATGATATATATACAGCATATATGTATGATATATGTATTATTACATGCATATATGTATATGCATGATGTGTGTATTAACGTATGTGTATCATACATAAAAAATGCATAAGTAAATAATAAAGTTATAATGATTTTATGATATGTATGCATGTATGTATGATGCATGCATTACATAGACTATCGTGTGAATAAGATTAAAAGTTTAATATTTTAATAGATTTAATTTAAAAATATTATAAAATATATTGATGTGTATGATACATAGTTATATGCATATATGTATGTATGATGCATGTATTAAAATTTTATGCTTTTTAATTTAAATAAATTTTAAAATTTTATAAACGTGGTACATGTTAACGAGGAATTTTTTAATAATCGTGACGGATTAAAATTTTTAAAAAAAATATTCGAAATATTAGACACATTACTTTAAATAAAATATTCATTAATAAATAATATAATTTATTATTATTATTATTTGCATTAAACCTCCTCAAAATTTAAAAGTAAAGCCAATATTAGTTGCGCCAAATCACCCGCCTCTAAACTCCTACATCTTTAATTACTCGAATCCAAATAGAGTTAAAGGTAAATGAACTCATACATAAAAAATATATATATAAGACACAACAATCAATGTGGTCAATCAACAAATCTATCACCCTAATTAAAAGACTCTGACATTAAGCATAGGGCACAGTGATCAACACTAGCTAAACAGTAAGCCTATCACTAGAGTTAAAGGGATCTGACGTTAAATACAAGGATTAAAAATGCAATTTTACTAATTATTTATCTCAGGCAATATTAATGAAATAAAAAGAAAAATCACACAATCAGGACAACAATTTTGAAACTAAAATATAAAAACTGCAAAATCGAGGACTGAAGTGCAAATATGTTGTGAAAGTTGAGGGACTGCTAAAAGAATATCCCCCCAAAGTGATCAACAAATCTATCACCCTAATTAAAAGAC